AGTCCTGCATTCATATTGCCTTAAACTACGACATCTTTAGACAGATCCACAAAAACGTGTGACAAGAAGACCATTGAGATACAAACTCAATGAAAGAATCGTGCTATTCTTTTCATTCATTAAAGATAATACAAACTGTGTAAAATCAAAGACTTTCTCACACTTAACATGTTTGTAATATCCAAATTATGACCATAATAAGAGTGGACTGACTGAAATTACCAAGTTCCAGGAAACATTTATACAGCAACATAATGCACATAATACAGTGCTGAATCAAAGCTATTAACATGCTTTTAATAGCATATTACAATAAATATGTTGTGTTTTAATAATCTGGACTCTTCTCACACCGTAGCTGTAGTTGATTAATCCCATCATCCATTCATCCATCCATTTCTCTGATTTAGTGAATGAAGCAGTGATGGATGAATGTGGCCAAAGAGTTATTCTACTGCAGTTTGTTTCTGTACCGTTTTCACTACGGACTCCATTATTATCAGTGTGTGACCTTGTGTGTATGTGTACAGGCGTTCTCCAGCCTCAGTGTGAGCGCGTGGCCATCGAGGCCCTGCAGCTCTGCACCCTCCTCCTCCCTCCATCCTCCCGCAGGAAGTTGCAGCTCCTCATGAGGATGATGTCACGCATCAGCCAGAACGTTGACATGCCCCGCCTCCACCCCGCTATAGGCACCCGCACACTGGTGAGACTTGCAACCGATAAAATACCTACATTTGTTTCCCGCCTATAACACACTTGTTTTTGGGATGTCCCAAGAACCAATGATTTTTAACCAAGTCATGTGGAACTAGGCATGAGGAGAGCTCTTTAGTGTTAGCTGTTAGCTCTAAGTTAGCACCCGAGTCACTGAGTAACATAATGGTGTATTCGTGTTATCATGATCTGTTCAAATGTATTTTGTAAAAAGTATTTTTTGGGTATAAACTTAAATAAATACAGTTTCATGAAGATGTTATCACAGCATTTTAACATTTATATTAGAGGAAATGTTGACTGCAAACAATATTAAATGAGTGCTTTTTGTTTTTATTGGACATTTAGAATAGTTGAAATTCACTGGTATTTGTATTGACTAGTACATTTATAGTACTGTTACATGCCTTCTTATTGTCTTATCTAGGGATCAGTTACATTTGATCTTGTTTCAACCATGTTGTTATGTTTATCATTCCAGATGGTTCACACGTTTTCCGGCTGTGTCCTGGGCAGCGCTGAGGAGTGTGATTTGGACGAGCTGTTGGCTACCAGACTGGTGTCATTTCTAATGGACCATCAAGAAAGCATCCTCTCAGTCCCAGAGTACCTGCGTAGTGCTATCAGTGACCACATCCAGTACCTGCGCACCGTGCAGGTACACGCAGAAACTCTTACACTATATGTGTCCTGCAGTATTTTATGTAGGGCCTGCACCCACTCCAAAACCTCAATGCAAAAAACTGAAAAAATAAAGCAAATCCATTTTTATTTGATTCTTATTTCGATTTTTAGCCTCATTTACTGCAAAATGTATTAATGATTGCATGCTCGTCAATAACAATTCAGTGTATGTCATTTTCTTTCAAATTGACAGAATTACTTTGTCAAAAAGCGTTTGCATAAAAAGCGGATCAATAATTTGTTTAGGTAAGGGCCAGGATCAATAAATAGTTTAATAAAGTGACTGTAATTTCCACTTTCCTGACGCAGGTCCCGATGGATGGTGTTTCTAATGTCGAAGCCTCAGATGAGGTTTGCGTTCCGATGCCCATCTACGCCTTCTGCCGGCAGATCAGCGGCGCTGAGTTTGAACAGCAAAAGCTGGAATCTTCCCAGAAGGCCATGGAGGAGTTGCTAGAGATACTGCTGAACAACCAAAACATGAGCGAGAAGGACAGACGCAAGAAACTGAAGCAGGTAACAAAAAGAGGTCCCATTGTATAACAAACACTCCTTAACAAGTCTACCTGCAACTGAGCTTTACTTCAAACATTTCCTTCAGTTTCAGAAGCAGTACCCAGACATCTACAGTCGCCGGTGCCCCTCCTCAGACAAGAAAAGTAAGAACAACACCAAACCGAAGATTAAACCTCCACTCCTCACCATCAAGAAGACCAAAGCTTTCAGCATCAGGAACTAACCGTACAGGTTGGCAGCATTATAGAAGCCACAGCCCTGTTCACTGCAATATAACCGCACTGATACTCAGAGATCTGGAGAATCCTCTTCTCTTTGCAGCCATTAACCTTTTCCGTGTTACGTTGGACATACTTGGTTTGTAGTAATGTTAGAGTTAATGCAGGCTGGAAGACTTCTACAATAGTTAATGTGTTTATTTGTCTGTGTGAGTGATTGTATTGACAGCTGAGTAAAATGAAGGCAGATAGACAGAGGGTTGCTTCTTGTTTTTTTTTGGTTAAAATGTTCCCTTTTTTTTTGTTTATCTGTTTTCTATCCGCTCACCTGTCTTATCTATTGCTAGCTTGTGCGTGTGTGTGCAGACAAACTGCAGATTGCATTTTGGGAGATATACATATGCAATTCTAAGGTCCCTGGTCCATATGGGAATAATTAGATTATAGATTTTTTTATTTATATAAATTATGACATTGGGAGCAGTGAAATGTCTTGTTAACTGTTTTTTATAGAGATCTCTAAAAATGTTATATCATAGAATCTCAAGTTTTATTTGAAATGTGTTTTTATTCTTTTAATGTTTTTCTCTTTCTTGTCCTTTTTGGCTCTTTCTCTTCGTTCTGCTTTTAAAGCAATTTAACGGTACCATTTACAGGTTGTTTCGTAGAGATCTTGGATAAAGGGATCTCAGGTTTTTCATTTACAACTCTAGTTAGTTTAAACTTCTTTCACAGTTTAGATTTGTATTACTGACGTGTGTTTCACCTTGATCCCAACCCTGCATTTGGATAAAGACATGTTTTGCACTGGATTAAGGCATTGCAAATGGAAAATCATCAGAATAACTAATGTATACATATTTAATGCATATTAGACTCCCTTACGAAGGTTCCACCAAATACCTGTAATTGTTTGGGTAAACTGTTGCTACTGCTTCTGTCAACAACCTTGTGAAGTGTTTTCTGAACTCCTACAGCATTTGATGTCAAAAGTGAAGTGGCTATTAGCTACTAATCTCTAAGGAGAGAAACTGGTCATCTATTCATTGATGAATGAGAACTTGGTAAACAGAAGTGCTTATTAGAACCCTTATGTCAATTATCTGAGGATTTGTAACTCTACATTTCAAGCTATTCCTTTTTAATTTATGTTATATGAAGTATTAGTTCTACCATGATATGTTTGGTTTCTTTACCTCAGATCGAAGTGTGTGTGTGTGTGTGTGTAACCGTATATGCATTCATCAGCAGTGTTTTATATTGTACACTTACACAGTTTTACCCTTTGTTTACTTTCTATTGTTTACTATGCAAACACCTGGGAAATAAATGTTCAGCTGTTCTATTTATATGCCATAGTCCTGTTTCTATTTGCCACTGTGTGAAAGCATGGGTTCGATGTAGGGCTGCAAAGTTAACCAACATTTTATAGAAATGTAGTGATGTGCAAAAAATCCTAATCGCAGTAAGCTCTATTTTTGTTTAAATAATAATGTAAAAAAAGATGTGAAAATACCAATTCTAAATAGAGGTTACTGGTGCTGAAGAGAAGTCTGGCCCAACAAACAGTAAAGCTTTGATTTAAAAAATCTCCTTCGTTCAGATCTGCTGAAAAAGCACACTCTTATTATTTTCCATTGATAAAGTGATCAATGTTTCATTCTCTTTATTTTATAAAGAAATAATTTCAAAATTTCAGTCATAACTGCAATAATTTCTTCCAAATCTTGCAGCCCTCGTACGATGTGACATAAGTCCTGAAACATCAAGTATATTCAACCCAGTCTCACATCTAAACGTGTAATAACTACGTTGGTCCACAACTTGGGACGTACACGAGATGTGAGACTGGGTTGGTATATTTGACCAGGCACTACACATGTAACTGGCTTTTGTTATTTCTACTTGTTGTTTACCAGCTTAACCAGTTAAAACCGCAACCAGGCAGGTTTAAGTAGATTCAGTTTAATCTACTTATCATGAACAAAGTCACAGCAGGCTGGTGGAGCACTAGGCCTAATATGCAAAGGCCTCAACAAAATACTACCTTTCACAGCGGCTGAATTCGTGTAAGATCCTCGTCAGGATTCAAATACTGTGCCCTTTTTGAAATTGTGCAGATTATTTGGAGTAAACAAGTCATGATTTCTGGAAAATTACATTTAATGTGGATCTTGAACATAGTGCGAAAGTGTTAAGGATAAATCCTCTGGGGACCATGAATGTATGTACAAAGGTTAATGGCAAGCCAACCAGTAGTTATTGTACTTGTTTAGCTGTCACACACACTAGATGATCGATTACTGCTTCTTTTAACTTTCTATTAATACAACCATACCATTTAAGTCACCCCTTCAGTCTTCCATTCAACTTTCATTTATCAACATGACAGAGAACCAAAGAAACAGACAGGGTTAATCATTCACTCTCTCCCTGCCAGAGAAAACTGTTGCTCTTTCTCCCCCCTCAGAGCGAGCCAATTAAAATAGTTTGAGGGGTTTGTCCAGGCGGTCTGGAACTTATTAGACAGGATTCCTTCTACTTGCACAAACAATACCAGCACATTCTGCCTTTAAAAGCTGACTTTCTTGGTTGGACCCTCATCATCGGCCTGTTTGTCAGTGTTTGTTTGTCTAGGTTGAGAAATACTTTGTTTCAAGGCCAAAAGAACATTCTGCATGGAGCCGATGGCCATGCGCCTGAAAGGAGCTGAGACAAAGCTGGCTTGTTTTGCTCCGGGTAAGACCAGAGGAGGAGGAGGATGGTAAAAAAAAAGGGGGGAGCAAAAGGCATGAAAGGAAACATGAAGGAGAGGAAGATGCAGAGGAAAAGAGGAGGGATTGGGGGAGGCAAGGTAGGATAGAAAAAGGGAGGAGGGGACCTCGTTTCCATCTCTCACCACAGGAAATGTGTGAGTGGTTTAAATGCAAGTCAGAGTCTGGTTTTGCAGGATACTTCTGAGTAACTGGTGAGGAACATTCAGCAGCATGGCCAGCCGGTGAGTGGAACTTTCTGTGTTTTTGTCTAATCGAAACTGAAAAGACAAAACTTTTAGAAATACCTTTCATGGTCTAAATATATTGGTTCTTGGAAATGTAATAAGAGAAACCAGATTGTCAGTGACTCTTGTTGTTTTCCTTGAAAAATATTTGATGGCGAGTCTACTATGTCAAATGTTCCACTGGATTTTTTTTCCATTGAGAAAGTTGTTGTGAGACACTTTCATTTGTTGCAGTCCAAACTAGTGTTTTTCGGGGGTAGATTTGTATGCCTGATTTCCAAACAGTGTAAGATTTTCCTTGCAGCTAAAGTCCTTTAATATTAAATGTATGGATTCAAGGAACATTGTTGAGATATGCAGTTGTATTCCGTTTATGTTAAACAAGACAAGAACGGGGGGAAAAAACATTTATTTTACAATTGCCTTTTACATTGTTCTGAATTTACATCAGGAGAAATCTAAAGAGCACCAACAAAAATACCAGGGAATTTTCTAAACATAATATGGCCAGTATTTTGACATAAAAAATATCGACATGAGTGAAACATTATCCTTCTTTTTTGAGATTATAGCATCAAGCAACTGTGATGTAAACACAGAGTATGCCTCCTCTCCTTCCACCAGAGCCTCGTCAAGAGCAAAAATCACTGTCTCCAAACAATGTTTGCTTTACCTGTTTATCACCCCTGTGGTGTAAATCCCTTAACAGAGATGTTTGGCATTTCACACATAGCTAATTAAAATAGTAAAACAAAAGAAAAGAGGAAAAAACATGAATGAAAACAGACACAGGTATCAAGGGGACTGATGGATAAATGAGTGGTAAAAACCAAACAAAGGAACCTCTAAATTGGGCAGCACAGAAACAAAGTATCAACAGTTGGCAGGACAATCTCACCACAATATGCATTTCATTAGAAGCTTATAACACCACCAGAGTTAATGATATAACATTCCTGCATCTTAATGTGTAATACGACTAGATTTATATGCTATATATTTTTTTTTTCACTAATTTACTTTTACTAGTAATTTTTTTTCAAATCAATATCTTTGTTTTCCTCTCCAGAGTGGAGCATCCTGCTGCAGGCTACAAGAAGATCTTTGAGACGGTGGAGGAGCTGAACGAACCTATTCCTGCAGAGATCAAGGGTAAGGAAGAGAGTGGGTTACCTACTTTTCTTTGGCTTTTCTGCCTTAAGAGAAAGTCTAGAAAGAAAGACTCCAAGACATGTTCCAGAATAGCTTCCAAAAAGGCTGATTGATTTATGTTTAAGGAATAGTTATAGTTATTTATCATATTTAATTTTTATCTTGGATTGTATCCTTCATTTTATTAATCTGTGTGAATCTGTGCTGTCCTGTTTTTCAATCTTACCCTGTTGCTGTTAAATTACTGAATGTCCCCAGGGGGATTAATAAAGGTCCATCTTATCTTAGTTTGACCTTTTGGCACATTTTGATTAAATGGTCTGTTTTATTCTGTGTTGTCCAAATCATATTATATGACAAAAAGCAATTTAAAAAGAGTTCACAACTCTAGCTTTACCCGTTATATCTTGCTTGTTCAATCTGTACGAAAACACAAAAGTGTTAATTTATTTGTAAGGGTATTTATGTACTGGATTCACGTGTCAATTGTGTCTGTGTGTGTGCTGTGTGTCTGTTCACAGGTGTCATACCATCATGGCTGGGCGGCAGTCTTCTCCGTATGGGTCCAGGTCTTTTTGAGGTGGGAGATGAGCCTTTCCACCATCTGTTTGATGGACAGGCTATGATTCACAAGTTTGACCTGAAGGACGGTCAGGTGACCTACTACAGGAAGTAAGAACACTTCTCATTACCTTTCCAAATCAGGGAAAAAAGCACATCTTTTAACATACTTGTTTGTTCACCAATACGTTCTTTCTCTACATGAAAAAATATATATAAATCTGAAATCCCAACCTGAAGAAAGCTGTCTGTCGCTACATTTGGGTTATAGCCATCTGATTAAAGGCTTTCTAACTTTTTGCCAGACCTTTCTTTTAAATTGTTTTGTTCCTGAGAGAAAAACCCTTTCAATGTACTTGTTTTGTACTTCCCAGCACTTTGGACCTTTATTTTATAGATCTAAATCCAGACGCAGATCTTTTATGGCATCTGATTTCTGTTCATGCAGTTTTGTGCAGCCAAATAAAAAAGCTGACAGTAAATTCCTCCAAACAGGAATGTTGCAATGGAGGAGACAACAACAATTCTCAGCTGCAAACCACAAGCCTTCATCCAACTCCAATAGTTTTGTCTACCTAGCAGAATCAGTAATGTGCTTTGTGAAATTCCAAAACGACATTGACAGTTTGATTAATAGACCAGATATGTCTCGTGAGGTATGATATGTGCATGATATGTGTTTCTCTTCTCAGGTTTATCAAGACAGATGCGTATGTTCGTGCCATGACAGAGAACAGAATAGTCATCACTGAGTTTGGCACAGCAGCCTACCCAGACCCCTGCAAAAACATCTTCTCCAGGTAACCCCGAAACCACATACTGTAGGTGCTCTGCCTAATGTATGAAGCCAAGTGTGTTAAAGGAACACAGGTGACCTTTTGGGTGATATGCTCACTTGCTGCATTGATTGAGAGTTAGATTTATTTGTATTAGTCATATTATTGAACATGTTAGAAACAAAACAAACAATAATAATAATAATAATAATTATTATTATTATAACAAAGAGAAACGAATAAAAAGAAAATAGATAAATAATAGTTTCAGTTTAGATAAAGTTGCACAGTATTTCAGCTCATCAGATGATGATGTTAAACTACTTTAATATTTGTCAACAGCTAGTTCTCTTAACATTTGATGGTACATGCTTGTTAGTCAAATTGTTTATGAACATTTCACATTTCTTTCATGTTTAACCCAAAGTACCTTAAATGTTCTCAATTAATTCATCTTTTTTTGAGCCCAAATTCTAGCTCCTATAATGTTAATATGTGGTTGTATTCTAAGTTTATCAAGATATTAAACTGAGCATTTTGTTTTTTTGATCTGTTGGTTGGACAACAAAGCAGCTTAAAAATGGCAAACTGGTGTCATGTTAGTAGTAATGCTAATTTATTTGTACTAATTCCTGATCTTTTATGGCCCAACAAAAAATCGATATGTATTATGATAAAACATCCAATGGCTCAAAATACTGTTTTAATATTTTAACAAAATATTGCCTTGTTTCTGTTTAGATTCTTCACTTATTTCAGAGGCATTGAGGTGACTGATAACTGCATGGTGAACATCTATCCAGTCGGTGAAGACTTCTACGCCGTCACAGAGACAAATTTTATCACTAAGGTTGATCCTGATTCGCTGGAGACTTTGAAGAGGGTGAGAGCTGATTGGTTTACATCTTGCTGAATCAGAAACAGATAACGCTAAAGAAACAACAAAACTAGTAGCAAGTCTTACTTCAGTAAATCTTTTCAATTGAAATGTTTTGGTGCTACAGAACTTTTTTATTTGAGTAATTATGTGTTTATATTATTGTTGATAGACTTATAAATGATGACGTCATGCTTTATAAAATGACTCTTCAATTATGTCCTGTCTTGTGTACATATTTGTATTAGGTTGACTTATGTAAGTACCTCTCAGTGAATGGGTTGACGGCCCATCCCCATATTGAAGCAGATGGCACAGTCTATAACATCGGCAACTGCTTTGGAAAGAACTTGAGTCTGGCTTATAACATCGTCAAGATCCCACCTGCTCAGAAAGGTGACTTTTGTACCACATTTTAACTGTCATCCGATTGATTGTGAGTGATTTTAAATGGACTTTCTTCTTTATGAGCTGGAGTAAAATTGTAGTTCATCATATGCACCCACTCACTACAGAATGATAACATCACCCACTGCAACTGTGTGTTTTCAGATGGGTCGGATCCCCTGGAGAAATCCCAGGTTGTTGTTCAACTGCCCAGCAGTGAGAGGTTAAAACCCTCCTACGTACACAGGTACCGACTTAATTCATCAAGATCAATACACAATACATCATATTCATCATAATCTGATCTTTGCATCTGTACTTGTTTTTACACTAACCAAACACATTGTGTTTCTATGAACCCTGTGGAAGTTGAAAACTGCTGCTTATGGATTTGTTTTGTCTATCTCTCTGTCTTTCTGTAGCTTTGGTATGACAGACAACCACTTTGTGTTTGTGGAGCAGCCGGTAAAAATCAACCTGCTCAAGTTCCTGTCGGCTTGGAGCGTCAGAGGGGCCACATACATGGACTGCTTTGAATCCAACGAAAGCATGGGGGTAAGCAAGGGGCGGCGCAAGAGGGTGGTGGTAAGAAGCTTGTGAACCATGAATGGATTACAGACTCAGGGGCCTTTGGATGAGACTGTCAGCATGAAGTGTTAACATTTGTTGGTGGTCAAACACAACCACAAAGAGGAGCAAAAAAGAGATGGATGAGAACAGAAAACAGCTACTGGGATAGGCAGAACAACTACAAAGTGACCCAAAATTATAAGACTAATAATTAAGGACTGAAAAGAAGAGCAAAATGACAGAAAAAGCAAACAACAAACTATACTCAATGCAAAATGACCAAAAACAGACACAAACTAGCACAAAGGGAAATCAAACTACCTCAAAAATCCAAAATGAACACGATTTGTAGCAAAATTACCATAAAGATACACATAACTACCACAAAAAGTTGCTAAACCACCAAGAAAAGGCACAAAATGATACGAAAACACCACAAGGACCTGCAGCGGTGCAGCTGATTTGTTTCTCTTTCAGTCTTGGTGTCTCTACGCAGTAGGAGTGATGGAGCAACTGTTACATGTCTGTGTTCAGGAACCCATTGTCTTATAATAATTCAAGGGATGTTGTATATTTTGACTTTTGGAGGTAGGAAGGGAAGTGTGTATAGTTACATGGGACTGTGCCTGTGCATGTGCATCTTTGTTCATACAGTATGTTGACATATGTGTCTCTTCATGTATTTGTGTTTGTGTGCTGTAGACATGGTTTCACTTGGCCACTAAGGACCCAGCTGAATATTTGAGCATCCACAAGTTCAGAACATCAGCTTTCAACATCTTTCACCATATCAACGCCTACGAGGATGAGGGCTTCATCGTGGTTGACCTCTGCACGTGGAAAGGGTGAGTGTGAGCGTGTCGGTATAAGTTTATACCAAATGTATAATTAATTGTGTCATAATGAAATATCTCTGTGTTTTTTTGCAGTCATGACTTTGTGTACGACTACCTGTACCTGGCCAACATAAAGCAGGATTGGGAGGAAGTGAAGAAAGCTGCGATGAGAGCTCCTCAGCCTGAGGTCCGGCGATATGTACTGCCACTGGATATACACAAGGTGAGTAATGGTAATGTTAACGAACTTGAATTTGTGTGGAGGTGTTCTTTTAAAAGTAGTCTTAACTGGTCATACATTTCATAAAATGTACAAACTATTAAATGGACTGATCAGTTTTTTGGACAATGCTTGATTGGTGTTTAAATTATTTTATCAAAGCTAATAGATTATTTTGAACTCACTTCATGAAAATATAATTGTAACTTCCTACAGTAAATGCAAACATTTTAAATATTAATGTCCTAAACATAGAATAAAAATAAAATTGTATTAAAATAGCTCCATATGAGAGGCAAATATTTAATCTGAAGTATAGTTCTGTTGCTTCGTACCAATTTAACTGATAATAGTACCGATAAAGAGAAAGATTTACACTATACACACATTTCAACAGAATAATGATAAGGTGAACAGAAGACATTACAAAAGTTGAAAGCCTGAGGGTAGCACAGCTAGCTAGGTTAGCAGTCAGCTAAACATAGAAAAAAGTAATTATCCTAAATCAAAAACCACAAAACAGCTGTAACAATAACAACACTTACAGCCCTTACAGATATTGCTCCAAATTGGCATTTAAGGAGTAGATAACAAGATGCCTGGTAATATAGGCCTACCCGGACAAAGACCTGACAAAAATAGTGGATGTCGTTGTCAGTCAGCTGTTGTTGCTGTTGTTCAACTGAAACTAACTGCTGAGCTAGCTTTGTTAGCAACTTTTTCTGGATAAGTGTTGTACCCAGTTAGACTTTTCACATAAAGCACACAGTTCTCACACTATACTGTATAAAATACCCCCTCAGAGTAGACTGTTTGTGTATGTGTGTACATCCATTTGTGTTTGCTATCATGTGTGTTCAGGAGGAGCAGGGAAAGAATCTGGTGTCTCTTCCCTACACCACAGCAACTGCTGTTCTTAACAGCGATGGCACCATTTGGCTCGAGCCTGAAGTCCTCTTCTCTGGACCAAGACAGGGTAACACATACAGAAAAACTAAACATTTCACACCAGTAAAAGGGTTTTAAATGTATCTCCAGGGATCATTCTTGCTCTTAAAATCATGACAAAACAAAATTGAGATCCAACTAACTTTTTTCAGATGCCAACCACCTTAATTATTTTTGTCATTTTCTCAGCCTTTGAGTTTCCACAGATAAACTACTCTCTGTGTAGTGGGAAGAAATATTCCTTTGCGTACGGTCTGGGACTCAACCACTTTATCCCTGACAGGGTAAGGAGTGCTTTCATAATTCACAGAATGAATTTTGATGATGATAATGATTTTTTTTGGTGATCAAGATTTTGGGTGTTTATTGTTGTCTTGCTGTAGATAGTCAAGCTGAATGTACAGACCAAAGAGACCTTGGTGTGGCAGGAGGAGGACTGTTACCCATCCGAGCCGCTGTTTGTACCAACACCTGGAGCCACAGAGGAAGACGATGGTACAACACACACATAATTATACTGACAAGTAATCTGAAGGAAACAAAAGTTGTTCTCTTAAGATCAATTATTTTGATATCTCTACCAGTGAACCCTTTCATACCTCAAAAATCTGCCTGATAAAAAATGTAACTTATACTGTATTCAAACCTCATCCCTAGATTTATTTAATACCTTATCCTGATCATGTCTGAAATTGGAAACTCAAATGTTTTACCATGTGTTCCAGGTGTGCTGCTGAGCATCGTGGTGAAGCCGGGTGCAGAGAGACCGGGCTTCCTGCTGGTGCTGGATGCCGTGAAACTCACAGAGCTGGCACGGGCCGAGGTCAACATCAACATACCCGTGACCCTCCACGGCCTGTACAAACCGTGACTCCAACATTCGACCTATAAAAGCCAAGACACGTCCTTATGTACAGCACAACGCCTTCACTTTCCTGCCAGCACACTACATTTCTAACTAGACATGGATCAACAAAGTAGCTTTTTTTTGCATTGAATTAAAACATAATTTGTGTAACCATGCCATTGGGACCTGATAAAACAAATTACATTTACGATGTTGTTAAATAGAATGGAATTAATGTTCTTTCCACCCTTTGGTGCAAACTGGCTCACAATTGAACAGTATCTTTTAGCTGGTGGAGTGACTGTGTACAGAGAGTTTACTTCAAAAATAATTATTGCATGTTGTGTATGCAGTATACGGTAGAGTTTATGTAAAGCAGGTGTCATGTACAAACACAATATTTAAAACATTTATTTAAAAAGCTGGTTGCATAATTTGCTTCTTTATAGTATACAAATAAAAACACAATACAACTTTTTTTTATTTCATAGAACAGATTTATATCATTTAGAAAGGTAACTTCTGGAATAAGATAGATAGATCTACTTTATTCATCCCAAATTGGGAAATATTTTGTTACAGCAGTAATAATGTGTTCAGACATTAAATTAAAAGGTGGACAAAAATTATTAAAATAAAAACAAATAAACAGCAGGTATATATATATATATATCTACAGTAGAATGGACATGAACCACACATAATACTCAATATATAATGTTCAAGTTAAGTTAGACTGTTCTATAAAATACTATATACTACAGCAACAGTAATATAGACTTACGTATACTTGTGATAATACATTTGCATAGAAGAATATATATTGTTCTGTATATCCTACAAAATTATCCAGAAAAAAACGTAGTAAGGACATGCGTAATGAGTAATACAGCTCCTGTGTAACTGTTGTTACAATTGTTGTGTTTACAGGTTCTTGTGCCTCCCCCAAGTGGCTAAATCAATTAACGCATGTTAAAGGAGATCATATCTTGCTAATTTTAAAAGTTTCTACCAGCTCTATAAAAAGGGTTTGGCTCATTGGGGTGGGCAATGAAAGGATTTTTGTATCCACTGTACACTGTCCATGTGGACATATTTGTATTCAGAATGTGCAATGAATGATTGTCATTTGTGTTCAAAGTATACAATTAAATATTTTACTGCTCTGATTTCAATTATAGGACATGTGTAATCAAAACATAATTCCTTTATATAACTAGGAAATTATGGAAATTTAAAAAATACCCTAAAAGGGAGTTAGAGAAAAAATAGAGTAAAACAATATAAATCGTAAAATAGAATAAAAGTAAAGTGTGCAGTTAAAGGTCCCATGTCATGCTTTTCTGGTTATTACCCGTCCCCTTGTGTGTTATGTAGCTGTTTGTGTATGTAAACGGTCTGCAGAGTCACAAACCCTCAAAGTACACCCTGTAGCGAATAAAACTCTAACACAGAAAAGACCTGTCTATGCTGCCCCAGAACGCCTCGTTGGAGATTTATCTTTTTCCATTGTTTACTTCTTGGGTAAAGTGACGTATTTCGGGTATAGTGACGTTACGTTGCGTCCACGGAGCCGTTCCATTTGGACCAATCAGCGGACACACACACACACACACACACACACACACACACACACACACACACTGCACAGACATTTTGGGGGGCAGGAGCTCAAGTGAGAAAAAGGGCACTTCCAATAATAATTTATAATTTTTTTTATTAAAACTAAAAGTGAAATATAGTTGCACATCTCTGACTTACTAACCAATTTATTTTAATACCCTCACACTCACACAACTGTTTAATACTCAACAGAATTCTACTAAATAATCAGCTGACGCAGAGACAATAGTCTTATTTAGTATTCACAATGCACAAGAGCAGACAACAAACTAGTAAAATAATACTTCAAAATTATGAAGCTACTGTTTAAGGACATTACAGGCAAAAATATCGTTTTGTCTGAATTCGTCTATAGATAAAGCTAATCTGCATTTAAACGTAACATTTCAGGGGAAAATACTGACTTGACGCAAGCAACTATCTGGGGAAGTTGTGGTGATGTGTTTTAAAAAAAATACATTTTAGTTTGATCCTTTTCACCTTGGTAACTGCATGCAAATTTGCACATTTTAATTAGGCCTAGTTAACGCCTAATTTGCATATCAATGTGGCGATTGTGATGACATTATTAGATACACATTTTACTGTATTCACCTTTAGTGTCTCCCCTTAAGTTCAGTACATTAGCCTGTATGCCCATGATAAAATGCCTTAGCTCAACCTNAGGATGCATACAGCTCATCCCCCCCTTCCGCCCCTGGGCAATTCTGACCACAACCTGGTTCACCTCCAGACTGTGTACCAACCTCTGGTCCACAGGCAGCCGGTGCCCACACGCAACATGAATAAGTGGTCTGAGGAGTCTGAGGAGGCTCTGAAAGACTGTTTCGACACTACTGCGTGGGATGTGTTNAGCCTCGAGCTGATGCCATCTGGACCTGCCGCTTTCCTCGCCTTACACTTCTGCAGCTCCCTCCTCACCTGGTAGGTTGTGAAGGACAAGGTGTCGTCAGCGGGTGGAGAAGAACCGGGGGTTGATGTGAGAATTGTCTGTAAGCTGATGGCCGGGGGCTGACAGTCTCTGCAGCAGCTGTTCCTCCATCCTCTTTCTGTAGCTGTTTTTCACCTCTCTGATTTTCCACCTCAGCTCCTTCTGTACAGTCTTCAGCTCCTCTCTGTTGCCAGATCTGAAGGCCCTCTTTTTGTCTTTCAGGAGAGCCTTTATTGCAGTGGTAAACCAGGGTTTGTTGTTGGCAAAACACTGTACAGTCCTGGTGGGTACGAAGTTTTCCTCACAGAAATTAATATAGTCCGTGATGCAGTCTTTAAGGCCATTGATGTCCTCCCCGTGAGAGTCAGTGAACACATCTCACGCAGTAGTGTCGAAACAGTCTTTCAGAGCTTCGTCAGACTCCTCAGACCACCTCTTCACGGTGCGTGTGGGCACCGGCTGTCTGTGGACCAATGCTAATGGATAAGTTAGCTCAAGGTTGAGCTAAGGCATTTTATCATGGGCATACAGGCTAATGTACTGAACTTAAGGGGAGACACTAAAGGTNAACTCCACTGACGTTCCTCTGCAGCAGCTGTTCCTCCATCCTCTTCCTGTGACTATACAGAAGGAGCTGAGGTGGAAAATCAGAGAGGGGAAAAACAGCTACAGGAAGAGGATGGAGGAACAGCTGCTGCAGAGGAACGTCAGTGGAGTTTGGAGAGGCCTGCAAACCATCTCTGGCTACTAATGGCGCATTTACACTGCAAGCCTCGCTCGGTTTGGTTAGGCCTTATTAGGCCCGGCTCACTTTAATGCTGCGCTCACATTACAGTTTAGGAACTGGGGTAGTTACTATAGTAACGCAGTGTTGTGTAGACGGGGCGATCGGCTTTTTGGCGGGCGGAGCGACGCTGCATACAACTGCCGTGACGTCATCTTCAATGCGACACAACTCACAAAACACACAACAACAATGGAGGATGATGGAAGCCATCGTGTCCTTGCTTCTTGGTATGTGGTTTTTTCTTCTTAGGTTCACTGTTTTCAAAAATGCTGCAAGCGCCCGTAATATATGCGACAGTAGGGATTAAGTCGCGCGAGAATTGTGACGATTCTCTCTGACTAATCAGCAGTCGTCACTAGTTTAGCATATTTCGCCCCGGTTGTTGGCCTCGATAGAACCACGATTTAGTCGGGCCAGAAAAAAGGTG